TCTTCATTCTATTCATCCCATATTTTCAGTTATAAGAACAGTTATTTTAAGTTTGTTTCTATGCTCATTTTCTACACACCTGTAATTCGTTATAGTCCTGTGTAGTTTTTGTTTCTAAGGCTCTTGTAACCTATATTCACACCTCCTAACTCCCATCTCAAGTAGAAAATTATTATTTCAATTTGTTTCCCTATAATTCGTTCTAATCCTGTGTAATTTTTGTTTCTGAGCCTCTCCTCGTAAACCATATCTAATTGAAAATAATTGTCACCTTTTATTCGCCTTCCTAATTATGTGGAATCAAGTAAAAAGAAATAATTGTATCTGTGTAAAAGTTGTGTATTTAAATGTGATTGTCCATCTGCTTTTGAAAATGAAATCGCCGAAAAGACAGAAAGGCAGATATCTTCGCTGAATTTCATGTTCTCTTCTTCCTAATGTCCTAATGAATATTTTCCATAATATTCACTTTCACTTTTCATCGTCTGTCTTGAAGTCCTAGGCGGAGAAGTCCTTTTCAACTAATACACTGTTGTTTTGCATCCGCTGTTTTCGTGTGTGTGAACCCTAGTTATCTATCAATCGAGAAATGACTGTCTGACTAATTTCAGCATAGAATTTCTGCACCGATATGCACCAGTTCAATTCGCCACACTCCATGTAGTACACAAAGCCAGAGAAGAAGAAAGTAAAAAGAAACGCAAAATGGAAATAGTAAACAGAGATATGAGGCAAAAAATAGTAATATCGAAGAACAACAATAAAGTTTTATTGGATATTATAAGTCACAAGGAGTGGATGCATCTGCGTTAGCCATTGAGAACGATTTTGAGCCATATCACCGATTGTCTCGAGCCATCATTGATGTTTACCGTCCCGAGGACCCCAACCAGTCAGGAAGTACACACCCTCCTACGTGACTGGTTTAAACTAACTGTTGTAGGTTTGATTGACTGATGAAGTCATGTTTCGGTTTGACCACCACCGACTAGCTCTTTTCTCACCTGACCCTGTGTCAGCCAACATTGCACATTGAGGAAGGCGATGGTTAGTCAGGCATGCGTAATACATGTCCTAACCATCTCAGTCGATGTAGCTTCACAGCCTCGTCTATTGATTTCCCCCTCCTCCTTACCAACTACCACTCGACTGGTGCCTAAACTCAATATTGCTCACCCTATTGTATCATTTCACAAGGGAGATAGAACGTGCCTTCCAAGGACAGCATAGGGCATCAGCAGTACATCTCGATTGCACTCGCTCATTTGTCATAACTTTCATCTGCTTCCATGAATACCCATAAGATTTCATTTCCTCTTCTCATGATATCCTTCATGGTTACCCTAACACTCATGGTATGGCATGCCATACCACTCGACGGTCTCCTCAGCGTATTTCTCATCCATCTCCATTTCCTCCTAAATACTGGTTGGGGAAAAAGTTCTTGGTCGGTTCGTTGTCACTTATCCTTCTTTAACATCTAATCTCCAGTATGAAGAGAACGCAGGTAATGATCAAAGCCTACAACCTGTTGGAGATGCTTTTCGTGAACTATGAGTCAAGTCTGCGAATGATATACAAGTACTGACTTGGCATGCACACTGAAGATCTCAATTTCCTGCAAAAGACTTCTAAATTGACTTCAAAGTAATGAAAGTCTCTCTTACTTCTCCGATCTCACGTCTGTCATCCTCATCTGTACCGCCTACCAGTAGCTGAGCGATTGTGGCTGTACTAGAGAATGAGTTGCCACCTGCCCAACTTATCCCACTGATGGTACTTGTTGTTGTTGTCGGTGCGACACCTTTATCCACTTCATTAACTACTGATGCTGGTGTCCCTCAAGGCACTATCCTTTCTACTTTCCTGTTTTCTTTCTTCTTGCATGACTTGCCTCACTCTGATAACGAAATGAACTTCGTTAAGTACGCGGACGATCTAACTATTTCAATGTCTGTTAACTCCCAGCTAGACTGTACTAAAATGAACAGCTTTCTATCAGGAGTTAGCAAATGGTTTTCGTCTAACAGTGTTAAAATAAATCCTTCCAAATGTCACTGTTAATTTCAGTTTCCGATGTAAACGAAAGTTAAATGAAGCTGTTGGTTCCTATGACCGTTGCGAAATTGATATACAAATCAAGTCTGAAGTTAAGTATCTTGGATTAATCCTTTCTACTGACCTATCCTGGTCTTCTCATATCTTAGCGATTTCCAAAAGAATATTTCGTTTGACTTTTTACATTAAGAAGTTAAGGCACTCAGGCATAAACCAACCACTCCTCTTACAGTTTGTCAACTCGTGTATTTTACCTATTCTCTTTTACTATTCACTCTTATTCCTTCCTGGATTGCTTAAAAATGACTATGTCACACTTCGTAGAACTCTGCACACTGTCAGTAGGAAAAGTGGTATAGTTGTCATTAATAGGCACTTGATGTCATGCAACAAATTTTCTAAACGAATTTCGTCAGACTGTGAGCATCCACTTTACACACAGCTTCAATTCTTGTGTCTCCTCCTCAGGTAAAACAAGAAGTCTTTTCAGAAGACTTTATGCATATACGTCTAAGTATAAAAATTCCACGATACCATATTTAACACGTAATTTATGTGATGAAAATAGTGTTAGGCATGAACTAACTAATCTTCTTTGCACTATTAAATAAACCATTTTCTTCATCCTTATGCCACCAAGCTTTATTGTTACTGTTCCTCTTATATTTATAGATCTCTTAAATTTTTGTTTTTATTATTTTTTCATAAGTGTGAACATCTTTCAAGCTGTATCATAGCTGTTAATTGTGCCTTTCCTCTCACCATACTATATCAACAGAACATTAGATTCAATAATCTATAACATGCTAAAATTTCCAAACTGAATCGACAATACTGTTTGAAACAAACTCACTGTTATTTTTATTATTATTATATTTATTATTCTCATTTTGTACTTCGAATATTTTTGACTTTATATCGTAAATGTGGAAAAATTCTTCTGGTTAATTTTTAATTTTATGTATATTTTGATTAAATCAGATGAAATATTGTGACAATTGCTGAGAATTCCATTCTGTATTGTGAGTACTGTATCTGGAATTTTTATTATTATTATCCACGATAACTCATAAAACATGATAATGTAACCGTATATATGATAGTGGGTTGCAAAATGAAGCCCTTTCTAATGATTATGCTTTCTCCATGATAAAAAAGGCTCGGTATTTGTCTAATTTACAATTACTATCAAATTTTGATTAAATGATTAAGTCCAATCTTGGTAAAACGCAATAAAGCTGAATATTTTTAATGCGAAGTAGTCCGACTACTTAATTAAGTAGCATGATGATAAAGCAAACAAATTTCATAGATCCAAAATTAAGTTTAGTTGAAAATTGTAGTTCTAATGAGAGGTAGTGACTACTAGGTTCAAACAAATAGAGTGTAAGAAAAGATACTCAAAAGCAATGGCACTGTGTATCGTGTTACACACATTTACCAACCACTCTCTTCACTGCCCTCATACTGAAGATCAAATGGTCAGAAAGAATTAGCAACAAGAAACTGTGGGAACACACCAATCAAGAACATATCGCTCAACCAATATGCAGAAGAAAACTGAGATGGATTGAGCATACACTGAGGAAACTGTTGGTTGATATCATGCGCCGGGTCATTAGTCGAGTGGAACTCGAATGGTACATCCTTGTGTGACATGGAGGAGTTCGTGTGAGGAGGAGACCAGAGACTATGGGCAAACGCGGAGCCAGCTAAGAAGGACCACAGAAAACAGGGCAAAATGGAGACGTGCTGTTGAAGCCCTATGTTCCATTCAGAGCCCAGAAGCATATCCTAATGGCTGGATGCTAACATGACCACCCCATAACCTAAGGGTTCTGGTTCCCATTCCCTTTTATATGATGAGTGGATATTGTCGGAGAGCTCTAGATTACAAGGAAACAGCTGCCGAGTACCCTCTAGTTCTGTGAATGGTATCACTTCATGATTGAAATCTAATGAGGAATTACTACTCCCATAGAGAAGGTATATATATGTACACTAAATCAATTGACATCACTAATTGGACGTCTATAACAGTATGAATGTAATTCTACGTAATTATTACCAACAAAACAAAAACTTAGTATATTATGGGCCTTATACCATGAGAGGTGCCATGCAAAATCTCATAGTTTTTGTATGCCCGGGCCGAAGCAGGTAACTGTTTCAAGAGGTCACCACCTCCCTTTGTTGAGTCTTCGACTTAAAGTCTGTTCAACAAGACAGAGAAGCAGCTTCAGGAGCTGCGTTTCCCATAGTTGCTGGTGACCGAATCAGGTTCTTGCATTATTCGATCCAATCGGATTCTGGAGGTTTGGAATCAGGATTTTCCAGGTCATCTAAGTATGCAACGACAGAAGACAAGGGCCAGGCAACAGATCGTTTATTGACAAATCAACAGATATTTATAGATTTTCATGTACATTATTATTAGTGTTATTGTTAGGAGAGAAACAACGTCTTCTAATTGGTTGTTTTCCTGCTGTAGGTTATTCTGTCATCTCTTTGTGACCGTTTCTTAGGCAGTCCGGTGATATATCTGCGAATCCTATCCGCCCACGTTAAGTCTGATGTGACTGGTTGTTGAGTTAGTCTTTGTTCTTGTTTTTTGCTCATGACCAAGATTTGGGATGTAAACATTTACGTAAATTGCTGTCTACCAATTTTCGATAGCAGACAGCTCTCACCACAAGTAGACTTACATGTCAACCACCAGACATTCGAATTCGCTCTTTCAATTTTGTGAGGAACACCCTCGCCGCACATCCTCCCCCCCCCCCACACACACACACACTCGGAGACAGTGAAAATAGGACTTAGTTAGCAAAGACTTTGAACCTGCGACCTTAATGCGTTAGCATTTCAAGAGGAAGACAGAGAAGTGTCTACCAGCCACCGTAAAGAGACTTAAACAGACTCCTTCTTGAAAACCAGCAATCTTTAAATGCTTTATTTATTAAAAACTTTTATTTAAAGAATAAACGCGTAAAACCCTTCTCTTAATTTATAATAATAATAATAATAACAGAGTAATTATTTCGTAATGACATCCATACAATACATAAAATGATATTGGTCTCTTCTCTCCGCTTAAGACTTCGATGGCGCTTTGTTCAACTTGTAAAATCTATTGGCCAATAAAGAGACACGTTTTGTGTAGCGTAAATTATTATCCACTGCCCATTCTTTCAGGGATACTTCATAGTTTTTTCTCAGCTCCTTTGCCATATTATTATATTCCTAAAATAGTGAGAAAGACAGAGAGGTAGAAATAAAGAAAGCGACTAAGGAATGTAAACCAGCAAATTATTAAATATTGATTAGTTTTCAAACTAAGAACTGAAAGCCGTTGACTGCTGGTTTGAGCCGATTAGATTCTGGAGCCCATGTAACCCATGGTAACTGTTTTTAGTCTAACCGCTATCCAAACAACCTTCCTCACATGGTAGGACCTGTAGGAACATGATTCCCAGCCAGTTTAGTTTGTTGGGTCACTGTGGTATTCAAGCCCGACCACCACGACAAGGTAGCGGTTGTCGGCCGGGGACACAGTGATGATGCAATATTAATTACTGAATGATGTTTCAAGTATAAATTATTGCTTATAGTCATATCAATTTAATCACACGGCTTCACAATTTGTCTTAAGCATATATTTTCTCCCTATTCTGTCTCTCCAACTTCCCTTTGTTCTTTATTGCTACTTTCCGTATCTCCAGTATAGGCGTGACATCATTCCGATTGCACGTGTGCCATGTTGATTAACCTCTCTGTCTCTTCACCCAACGACTATATTACGTTTTAATACTCTCACCTTGTCCCACCCATACTATTTTGTGATTACATGCAAGTGGATGCAGTGCAATGAGTGAGTTTTACTCCAGGTTATTTAATTTATCAGGGTCAATCATTCTAAAATTATTGTTTCCTTTAGTTCCTAGAAGAACATAGGGCTTCAGCCGCCCATCTCCATTGCGTTCGGTTCTCTGACAACACTTTCACCTGGCTCCACGTCTGCCCATATGCTTTCATCTCCTCTTCATATGACCTCCTCCATGTCACCCCACTCTCGCACTGACGATCAACTTGCCACTTCCCGTTCGGGTTCCACTCGAACCATGGCCTGGCGTGTGATGTCACTTGATGATGGTTTGTTTTCCCAGAGTACGGCCAATCTACCTCCACTTCTTCATGCTTATTTCTTGCACAATTGGTTTCTGCTGGGTTGGTTCGTTCATCGCCAGAGATCCTTTTTGCTGATCTTTTCTGGCCGGCCATCTGATCTGGAGTATTATTGAGTGAAGACAGCTGTAGATGGAGGTCTGTAGTTTGTTCGAAGTGCCTTTCGTGACGCGGCGCGGCACCAAGTCTCGGATCTGTATAGTAAATAGTAATGACTTCACACGAGTTGAAAATCCAGTTCTTATTTTTCATGCTGAGTGCTGTTGATATCCACACAGAACTGAGAGTAATGAAACTTTAACTTGCTTTCCCAATCCTCGCTGCTTTGATATTCTCATCAGTTCCGTCCGCCTCTAGTTGAAACAATTCTTCCCAATTAGGTTGGTGAAGGAGGTTTCTTCTTTTAGATTCCTCCCATTTATCCTGGCTGATTGTTATCTGTTGTTGTTGCTGTTGCTGTTGGTGTTGGCCAGGAATCTTCATCACCTACCTCTGTTTTCTCTATGTTCACCTGCAGTCCTATGTTTGATGCTTCTTCTATCGCTAACTTGTTGCTTTCCACTTGCATATCTTCCAGTTTGTGGGAAATCATTCTAGGTCGAGCTAAATTTGTATGCTCCAATAGTCTAACTGACCTCGATCTACTACAAGTTTGACCGACTTATGCAATTGACCCCAATCACAGTCATTACATAATATTTGGTAAATTATATTATTTTTCTTAATTGGATCTATTGGGTAGGTTCTTAAGCCGACAAAGTTTATCTCTGAGACGGTTGGTTGGTTGGTTTAAATACCACCCTAATTCCAGCACTATTAAGAATCCTACATAAGGCTTCTGACGTCCCTTCTTTATACGACAGTGTTAAAGAGGCTTCAAAGCCTCTATACCGGAGATACGGAATGTGACAACAACAAACAAGCGGATGATGGAGGGAGAGAAAGAGAGAAGAAATATGTGTAAGAAGAATTGTGAGGCCGTGTGTGATTGAATTGGTGTGATTATATGAGCAACAGAATGTCTTGACTATCACATACTTTTTCCGCACTCCCTTTATCATAACCAGATATCGCCAAAAAAGCTTTTAACCAACTGAATACGATATCAGTACCTTCAGGCGGAGAAACAGGAGGAATATTCGAAACCAGTAGGCATATCTGTGCTGTGAAACCTATAGAATAGTGAAGATGTGATCAAATCAACCTGATATCACCACAAAATATACCACAGTGTCCTTCTAGTGTCCGATATGCCTTAACTGCAATCAGTTGTTGTATAACAATGAACTCGCCAGAGTTCCTAAACATTACTTTAGTTCAGCTAATCTCTCGGTGATTATTCCGGGAAGATTTATCCACTTTGTGTTATAAACTGCGGTTACTGACGACCTACACTAGTTTATCCCTTCACATGCCCAACCTCCTTTACTTACTTGTGAAGCATCGTTTCAACTACAGGCGGACGGAACTGATGAGGATATCAAAGCAGCGAGGATCGGGAAAGTAAGGCAGGCTTTTATTACTCTCAAGTCTGTGTGGAGGTCAACAGCACTCAGCATGAAAATGAAATAAGATCCGGATTTTCAACTCCAATGTGGAGTCAGTGCTACTTACTATACGGATTAGAGACTTGGCGCCGCGTCATAAAGAGCACCTCAAACAAACTACAGACCTTCGTCAACAGCTGTCTTCGCTCAATACTACTCACGATCAGATAGCCAGCCAGAAAAGATCAGCAGTAGTGTGAGGGATCTCTGGCAATGATCGAACCAACCAGGAACCAATTGTGCAACAAATATTCAGGAAGAAGTGGAGGTGGATTGACCATACTCTGAGAAAACAAACCATCAAGTGACATCACACGACAGGCCATCGCTCGAGTGGAACCCGAATGGGAAGCGGTGAGTTGGTAGTCAGGGGTGACATGGAGGTCATGTGAAGAGGAGATGAAAGCATGTGGACAGACTTGGAGCCAGGTTAAAACTTTAGCAGAGAACCGAACGCAATGGAGACGCGCGGCTGAAGCCGTATGTTGTTCCTCTAGGAATTAAAGGAAATAATAATATAATAAATAATAAGATTATAAGTTTCCACACCTTAGGTGTTACGAACTTCCTGGATAATAAATCTGTTGAAGAAGCTGTGGCTAACACAGCGAAACGTTCAGAAAAATCTTGTTTTGATTTTCTTAACACGCTCGGATTAATTTAAATAATTTATAATAATAAGTAATAATCACATTCCCAGTGGAACATAGGGCTTCAAGCTGGAGGCTTGAAGTTTCGGTAGCAGTGATATTTATTTTTACAGGATGGGGTAGCTAGCCTCACGTGTCCCAACCTTTCCTCTTTACCAGCTTTTTTATATTCTGACTAATCGAGGTAAAGGAGTGCATCGGCCGGAGATCGAACCCCGGACCGTATACATGGTCGGCGAGCGTCCTAACCGCTGTGCCACAGACGCACTCATCAGTAATCTGGACACGCATAAAAACTTTGTAGCCGCCTGTCTTGTAGAAATACACGTGCTGACACTGATGGATGATTGGAATCTACGTAGGTGCTCCAGAAGCAACCACAAACCTCTAACAGTCCCGCTCCCTATCAGAAACTCGTCGTTCATATTAGTGGTCACTAGGTGAAACACCATCTCAGCGTCAAGCAATTACAATCATCCATTAATCATAGCATTAGTGGATATCTTTGCATTTATTTTCTTTTTCTCTATTCCTACCTTCATATGTGCGCTTATGAAATATGGTAACTTGAACTGATGAACTTTTGTGCATGTAATGTCCTACGGTTCTACAGAAGGTCAGCCATAAGTCCGAATAGTTCAGTGGTAACGTTTCTGATTGCAGTACTCCCTGATGCAGGTTCAAACCTGAGAGTACATGAGTCCCTTCAAGGTTATATCACGTATGTCTTGCCGACGAGTCCCAACGAGTACGGAATCTACTCTGTGGTTAGAGCTTCCTAACAACTGCCTACAACTGATCCCTAGGTTAGTGTGATCACATTATTTTTATTTTTTCTATTTTTTATTTTTGATTACAGCCTGATTCCACACCGTATTTTCAGTACAAGTATGGAATTTTCAGCATGGATATCGGTAGCCCAAATTCAGGCCGACCATAGATATCGGGTGTGCACCGGCAGGGGATCGAACCCCGGACCATGTGCATGGTCGGCGAGAGTCCTAACCACTGTGCCACTTGACTGAGAGTATTTACTTTGTACCAATACCAAGGATCAGACGCATAACATCGTAGAATGCCTAGTGACCAATTAATCTACTTTTGTGCATAGTTCCACGTTGAAAATTCAAGAAGTGAGGATTCTCACTTCTTTGTACTGTATGTGTGTCATCTAGAACAAGAAACTAAAGACTTAAGAATAAAACTATCCCTAACACGCTAAAACTGCTATATCTGCTAACGAATTAACTGATTGAGACTGAGTTAGTGATGCTGTCATTATCGATGACATTCCCGATTGTGATAAACTGGATTATGCAGAAGACTGTGGTAAGAAAGAAGGACAGGAATACGTTGAACCAACAAGATGACTGTAGAAGATCTGGACTTTGCAGAAAACTTATGTTTAGTGTTACACAAACTCGAAGAACTACAGAAGAAAAACAACAAGTTGGCAGAAGAGGCTGGAACCGATGACATAACTTCAATTCAACATACAGAAGGCAGACATGATGAAGATAACCACACCAATCGCTATCAGCGGAAGAAATTTGAAAGAGGTCACCACTTTGATTTATCTCGACAGTATCATTCCAACTGCAGACGGCACAGATGAAGGAGGATGTCAAAGTCAACTTTGAAATTGGAAAGCCACGACACAGACACCTACATTAATCTGAAATTACAGTCTGAAAAACCACTGAACTAAGTAAGCATAAGAACAAATATTCGGAGGCTATTCAACACACTAATGTCAAGCCGCCAATCAGTTCAGAAACACTTGGTAAGCGTGTCACCAAAAGTTGTTTGTTCTGTTTTTCGAACAGGATACTGCTGCAGACTCCATACTGAAGATCAGCTGACTTGCCAGAAAGGATGAGCGTCAAGGGACTCTGTCAACGAACTAACCAAGAACTAATTGTCGAATAAGTATGCAGAAGGAAATTGAGGTGGATCGGATACACACTGAGGAGACCACCGAGTGACATTATACACCGCGTAGGCACTCTCGAGTAGAACTCATATAGAAAACGACTAGGTGGACATCTGAGTGTGACATGAGGGACACCATGTAAAGAGGAGAAGGCGCCCTATAGACAATCGCGAAGTTAGCTAAAGACAACTGCAAATGAAAGGATGAAATGGAGATGAGCTGTTGAGGCCCTGTATTCCACTCATAACCTAAGACAATAATCACAACTGTAACAAAAGTATAAACAATGTTTAGGTTAATAACAAACTTACCAACTGTTTGGATTGTGGTAACGACAGCCATTGTTTTATGGTAGTTTTAAAGTCATCACGCATCTTTGACAATGATGTACCCTGGTGGGGAATAAATCAACAACGACAAAAAAACAAAAAATCTTTACAGTTGTCAATACTACTGAAGTGATGAAATAACTGCCAATAACATTTACTTGTCGATTTCATTTAAGGTTCAATCACATCAGCTGGAGAGCAACTGGAAAGTCGGGGAGCGCTGGAAAGCCGTTTCGTCCTAGTTTTGGATTCTTCAATAGAACTCGATCCAATGGCCTATAGAGCGACCTCCAACCAATGTCATCAGTGAGTAACTATTCTCTTAGCTGACCGGGTATACCCTACTAGGTGCGTACTGATAAAGCGTACCAGGCTACGACGAAACAGAAGTCTGATAATCCTTGATTTACCAATGGTTGTCAGATCGTTACCAGATATGTAACCAATCAAATTCGTGAGAGCAACCAACCGTCCAAGTTAGATCACGAAAGCAAGGTCACTTAGAGAAACCATTGAAAACTATGGAGTACTGGAAAACCTGTTTCGTTACAGTTTGGGACTCTTCAGCAGTACACACCAGTGAACCCATTCTGGAGGGGGGAGGGGATTAAAATCCTGACTTTTATGTAACAAGTAATGCTCATTAGCCATTCAATCAGGTTATAGCTGATATGTAACATATCACAGATGTGTATACTCTTTTTACGTAGTAGAGTATCACATTCCGTCTAACCTTCTACATCGAGAAGTTAAGACATTCTGGTATAACCCAACCCTTACTCCTACAATTCGTTAACTCTTGCGTTCTGCCTATTATTCTCTATTGTTCCCCCTTAGTTTTTCCAGAGCTACTGAAGAGAGACTATAACATATTATGCAGGATGTGAAAGGTTGTCAGCAGGGTAAGCAATGTGCCACTTAAGAAGCTTATTAATATTCTGGTTGACGGACACTTGGACTCATGTGAAAAATGGGCTAAATCCATTTTATCTAACTCACACCACCCTCTTCATTCACAACTCTCCCCTCGCATCTCATCAGGCAGAACCAGAAGCCTATATAGAAAACTATATGCTCGCACCAGCAAGTACAAAAACTCAACCATACCCTACTTAGCTCGTGTTCTGTGTGATAAAGAAAACATTAGACATGATACCTATAACTTATTAAATAGTCAGTAGAACAACTGGAACTGGTCTTTCCAACTCATATCATTTGTAGGTACAACATTTTCTTTCTTTCTTTTCCTATTCTCTCTCTCTTTTTCCGTTATGTGCTGCTTTGTTTCTTTCTCTCGCTTATGCCAGTAAATATGATAGCACTTACTTTTGTAACACCTCCAAACACTGTTCAACTTTGGCTTTGCTACCGACATGCCAATATGTTGTTCTCATAATGAACTGAGATTTCCCTAATCTATGTAGAATTTTATTTATTGTTAGTGTACTAACTGGATGCAAAACTGTAGTGAAATGCTGAGAATTCCATTCTGTATCACAGGTACTGTTTTGGAATAAAGCAAATTATTGTTATTATTATTATTTAGATGTGAATGGCGTGTTATATTTCCACATCAATTGATTACCCTTAGAATTAACTACCCTGATGCTCCACAAACTGCAGCAATCACCAAAGAGTTTTCTCTTCACTAGATCTTCCAAATCAAGCAAACTTTTAATGGTCATAATACTAATGGCTTTATTCCAAGCACTACATTTGATACAATGTGTGTGAACATTGTTTACTCGTATCCCTTTATTCTGTTTTACGATATTCGCACACTGTTTGAGCAACACGTGGATCACAGGTGTCTGCGTTCTATCTCCCGTGTGAAGTGATATAATAAGGTGAGCAATATTGAGGTTAGGCGTCGAGTGCTAGGTAAGGAGGGGAAATCAGTCGACGAGACTGTGAAATTACATCGACTGAGATGGTTAGGACATGTGTTACGCATGCCTAGTCATCGCCTTCCTCGACAACGGGCAATGTTAGCTGACATAGGGTCAGGCTGGAAAAGAGCTAGTTAGTGGTGGTCAAACCAAAACATGGCACCAGTCAATGAAATCTACAACAGTTAGTCTAAGCCACGTAGGAAGGTGTAGACTTCCTGGTTGGGGTCCTCGGGACGGTAAAACCCAATGGTTGGAAACAATTGGTGACATGGCTCAAAATCGTTCTCAGTGGCTGGTGCAGATGCATCCACTCCTTAGGACTTATGATTTCCAATTAAACTGTTTTGTTCTTCGTTATTACTATTCCTTTGTCTCACACCTCTGTTTACTGTCTATATTATGCATTTCTTCTACTTTCTTCTCTTCCTTTGTGTGCTACATGGAGTGTGGCGACTTGAACTTCCGCACATATGTGCAAAGTTCTATGTCGAAGACCGACCGACCGACCGAACATGTGGATCGATCGCCTTTGACACAGCTCTGTTGTCTTTACTTATTGACGCACATTGAATATAATTTTTTTTATTCACGGCATTCAACCACAGACACAAGTGAGCACGGTATTTCAGACAAATCCTGTGTGTTTTCGGATTTGAAGCGTCACTCAATGTGTGTCGGCTTTATTCATCGTTCGATTATAGTCCCGAATTTCTTTTGGACGCAATTCACAATACAACAGTATTACCAAGCTGGTTAAGCAACAGCCCACTGACTAGCCCTACTGACAGCTTTTAGTGTGCTTCCCAGAATGACAAAATCTTTCTTAAGTAATCCATAAAAGACTAAGGGGGAGCAATTGAGAAGAATAGGTAGAAAACAAGAATTAACAAATAATAAGAGCAGAGACTGAATGATTCCAGATAGTTTCAACTTCCTTACGTGTAGAAAGAAGGTTAAACGAAATATCTCTCCAGGAACTAACATGATGCGGGAAGACCAAGAAAGATCTGAGGAAAGACATAATCCAAGGTATTTCACATTCGACTTAGTTAGTTTCAACTTTAGTGCTTTCTATGATAGGAGATTTCATTATTTCTGTCTAAAAGTGAAATTGAATGGAGGATTTCATTATGAGCTGACATCAGTTAGAGAACTACTGGAAAACCTGGGAGTACTGGACAGCCGTTTCGTCCTAGTTTTGGACTCTTCATCAGCACGCACCCACCGGGATTCAAACCCAGGGTCTTCTGGTTACAAGGCGAGCTCGTAGACCATTGAGCCACTTAAATACTTAAAAGTGAAATTAACAATCTGGTTAGACATTTGGAGGGATTTAGGTGAAAACCCTTTTGAAAAGAACCACACCACTGACTAATTTTTGATTAACAGTTATTCATTTTGGAAAAATTTGATTGGGAGGTAAGAGAAACAGTCAAATCATCAACATACCGGATGAAATTGGTTTCATCGGAATGCAACAAGACATGTAAGAAGAAAGAAATCAGAAAAGGAGAAATAAAAACAGCACCTTAAGGGACATTGGCTACAGCGGGTACCGCTTTTCGATGCGAGAGTATAATTTTTCTGTATTTTATATTTATGCATATTATTCCTCTACGTTCCACCAAGTGGAACACATAAGGCTTTAAGTTAGAGCTTTGATGTTTCGGTATCAGTGGTTTTATTTCTTATCTACGAGGTGGGGTTACTAGTCTCATGCCCCGCATAACCTCCTCTATTCACTGGGCTTACGACTGGCTAAGCAAGGTGGTTTCGGAGTAAGTCCCCAGCCACAATTCGGCCCTTGGACCGTGTGCATGTGTGTTCGGCCGCCGAACCACCGACGCCTGAATGAATACTATTTAACGCCTGTTTTCTGCAATATAAATACGATTGTACAGTTGGTTGGAAATGAAATCTATCTGTCTGTCTGGTTTCAACATAGAACTTTGCACCGATGTGCAGAAGTTCGAGTCGCCACACTTCACCCACCACACAAAGCAAGAGAAGAAAGTAAAAAGAAACACAAAATAGAGACTGTAAACAGAGATATGAGGCAAAAAGAATAGTATTATCGAAGAAAAATATAGTTTTATTGGAAATTATAAGTCACAAGGAGTGGATGCATCTGCGCCAACCACTGATTGTCTCCAGCCATTGGTGTTTACCGTCCCGAGGACCCCGACTAGTCAGGAAGTCTACACTTTCTAACGTGGCTGGCTGGCTTAAACTAACTGTTGTGGATTTCATTGACTGATGAAACCACTTTTGGTTTGTCCACTAATAACTAGCTCTTTTCCAACCTTACCCTACGTCAGTGGCTAGCATTGCCCATTGTCGAGGAAGGCGATGGCTAGGCTAAACATCCGTAACACATGTCCTAACCATCTCAGTCAATGTGGCTTAACTGATTTCCCCTGCTCCTTACCTAGCACTCGACTGATGCCAAACCTCAGTATTGCTCACCATATTCTACCACGCCACCTAACAAGGGAGATAGAACACAGACACCTATGATCAACGACAGCTAGCGAGCCTTTTCATATCCTTCACTCTCAATGGCCAGGTCTCACAGCCAACCATAAAGGAGGACGAAGCGGACTGCTGAACAGTACATGCGCCCTGTGGTCGACAGCCAACGTGATATCACGTCTACGCTAGAGACGGCGTAAACTGACATATGCGAAACTAGCTTTCTGTATCCGTGAGATTTCGTCGGCGATAAAACCGTTAGGGCTGATTCAGCTTCCCTAATAAGTGAAGTGTTCAACGCGCTCTACAACTTTACCCCCTATTTCTAAGCCATGAGTCAGTGTAGTCACTGAATAAAGGCTATTCCTCCTAACTGAACAAAACTATATTTTCACGATGGCCTGCTTAAAACGTTGGCTACCCTAAATCTCCATCACCTTTTGAATACATCTCATCTCCTCATATCCTCTTTGTTACACTCCACTAAAATGTAACCTGTAATGGGGTTGCCTACTCTTTCGAGTATTTAAAGTGCTTACAACCATCATCAAACTTGAGAAGTATAATCGTGGGTGGCAACATATACCAATACATAAGGTGATTGTTCCCGAGACATTTCACAGCAAACTACCGCCAATTTGGGTCACCTCTTGTGTCGTCACGATTTTAGCCTGGCTATTAAAGGTCGGGTTTACATTGCTTCAGTGAGCGCAGTCTTGCTGTCAACGCCTGTGAAACATGAGCTCTCCAAGCTGTGTATCGATCATCGCTGTCTATATAGAATTGCTTACATCCGATGGAATATAGCGTGTGTTTAAACATGGTGGGTATAGTCATCTGCAAACATCGGCTTCAGTAGCTTGGATATATGCTGCGAATACCATCTCGGAGGCAATCCCCCCCCACACACACACACCAGTCGCTGTTCGTTAGCCCTGGTACTGAGTGGAAAAAGCGGAGAGGTGGTCAGCCTAATAACATGGCACCGTGATAAGGAAGATATCTGTATATTTGGTAAGCATCTCTAGTCCGAGGGGAGTCCGAAAGATAGTTCAAAATGGCGGCAAGAAACGTTATCATCATCACCACATGTGACCGAGAATCGCAATCGATGGCGAAAATGCTATGATTTCCTTCTTTCTTCCTTTTCTGAAAGTAACACATAAAGTGATGCATGTTAAATGATCTTCACGATAAATATGCTCGCTTTCTTATTTTCCAGATGACTTTGTATGGCACATCTCTTAACGCCCATAATGTACTCATTTTGTGTTTTAAATAAATAAAATAACAGAAGTTAGAATTTATGAACCACTGGGTCGGGTCCCATTGGCTTAACGATCTAAGAGCTAGCTCGCCTTGTCACCAGAAGGGCCTAGGTTCGACCCTTTAGCGGTGGGCGCGTAATTGCTGAAGAGTCCCAAACTATAACGAAAGAGCTAGTTGTCCAGTACTCTCCCAAATGGTTTTCCGATGGTTCTCTAACCGATGTCAGTCAGCTCATGATAATGAAATCCTCCAACCAATCAAAAATAAAATCTCTAAAAACCAATATTTGAGACCATTAAATAGTTAATCAACATTTGGTTTATCTAAAAGGAGTTTTCAACGCTGATAACTCACCTTACAATTATTCAACTTCTCTCTAATAAATATTTTAAGTCCAGAATTCGGTGGAGGCTTCGGCATTCCATTACGATAAGCGAACTAAGAAAACAGAAAAGGGAAAGAGATTGTAAAATTATTATTATTATTATAAATTTTAACTTGCAAAACACAAAGACGAAGTTTAGTTACCGACAATCTAAAACCAGAAATGTTTAAAGATTAATGACTCCAGGCGCATGACAGACTTCCATTGAGTGTGAAGGAATAACAATAATAAAGCTATGAGGGATAAATTGATGTTAAGTGCTGGATAATGACTAACACATTGGAATCCAAGGCGAGCGTTTCGTCCGATTCGGGACTCATCATCTCAATGATGCTATTGCCTTTGATACGCAAACTCAGCACCCTTCTTTTTACACGCCAAAACCTAATGTAATAAATGGTCTGGTGGATAACGTTTTGAAGTTTTAAGTGATGGCACCTGAGTTCGAATCTCAGTGGGAACATTATCAGTCAGTAGGAATCGCAGCTACATCCAACCGAAGAGTCTCAAATAGGACGAAATGCAAATCTACTAGATCCCTCTGCTAGTCATCATCCACCAATTCGTAGTTATTACGTTGATCTTCAGAGATCGTGGAAGCATCCGTATTAGGAGACGACGAGTTAACAGCGGCCGGAGATTTCGGTTCGGAGGAAAAAATACAATTGGCTTGAATAAACGAATAAATTGAGTTTATTATCATTTTTAAAGCAATTAGTTCCCTTTATGAATTTAGATAAAGCAATAATAAGACGTAATTTTTCTCAATCTTGTAATGTATTTACGCAACACATTTTGAACTATCTGATCACACACGGACTTGTCATAGGAGCCATTTAGGAATATGCTCTGAAGCCCTTACTAACTGGACGAAGACTGAACGCTGCTGTCAAAAAGACTTTTTATGCAGCCAATATCATAATAATAGAGAATGTAAAGCCAATATATCTATCTAAGCCCTTCGAACACGCGAAAAATGACGTCACATCCCACTGTATTTACCAATTTGAATGTACGTGTGGACACACATACATAGGGAGGACTCATCGATCTCTGCAAGTAAGGGCTGGCTTCAGAGCATATTCCTAAATGGCTCCAGAAACTAATAGAATCTTCAGAACCCATTAATGGTGAGAACAGGAGACCTAGCTGCTCTATTGCGAAACATATTATAGAGAGAGGACATAAAATTAGCCCAAATTTTGCAGGCCGACCATTGATATCAGGTGTGCGTCAGCAAGAGATCGAACCCTGGACCATGTGATCGGCGAGAGTCCTAACCACTGTGCCACCGACGCGCTATTCCGGATTTTTTGGGGGGGAGGGGAATACCATCCGAACAAGAGTCTTAAACTAATCTTAAATTTTTCCTCAGCTAAAATTTTGAAAACCACGAAAGGTCAAACTAGTGAAGTATGCTACCCCGAAGCCTACCTTTGAACGTCTATATGACCCTGAAGAACAAATCAGATAGCTTTATAAATGAACTCAACTCATCTAAACAACCAGTTACAATTCTAGCCAACAAGCCACAACCATCGTATGCGTGTGAGTATGGGAAAGCGATCCTGTCTCTCTGCTCAAACCTCTAGATTAAGCAGGGCTCGTACCCGTGACTTGCTGGGTATATGTCGAGCGTCATGATGAATGAGCCACACAACGCAACATTTAGAAATGACCATTGACTTCATGAATTATTTCACCTATATATCACGGGCCAGGTACTTTGAGTGGTACCCGAATGGCGTCCGTATTGAAACTCGAACCTGCCACTCATCGTTACAAATGCTACTACTGATTAGCGTCAAGATAGTCCTTAGACATCGTCAAAACGTCCGTACTAGGCAGGAGCCGACATGTCAGCGCAGAGACTGAACACTTTAGTCCAGTTATTCATCAGGAAAAATACAGTTGGTTTAAACCACCGAATAAACTGGGTTTATTATTAATCATGAATGCAGCGGGTGGGGGGTGCTGAGTACCATGATGATGCTGCAGGACTGAACTGAACTACATTGACTCCTAGCTTAGAAATAGGTAGTGAAATGGTAGAACGCGTCGACCACTGCACTTATTTGGGACGTCGCATCAGCTATTGCCAATGGGTGGGTGCCTTGCGCTGCGGGTTGGCCACTCCTCCGCACACCTCTTGAAATGCTTCCATACGACCGGGCGTCTTACATAGCCTCTCCTGAGGAAGTCCTACTCACTGCCTTCACGTGGTGGTGTTTTTCACCAAAGTGAGAGGGTGAAAGCGGATGCCTGGCGCTCTACACCGGGTTGACTGTCCATTGGATGACAGTCTAGGGGAGATGGCTAAACCCTGATTCCAAACCTCCAACGACTGGCGTATGAAGCTCACTGGAGCTCACCGGCAGACGTTTGGACAAAGGGCTTGTTGGATGTCCTGGATGTCTGGCCCCATTCGAAAGGCATATGAACCGAACTCCGGTCACCGGCTGCCAATGGATAGTGGACACCCTACTCCACTCCTACTACCTTGTAGGTCACACTTGGTTGTGTAAAGGCTAGAGCTGCACTCTCAAACAAAAGGCCGAGCGATTCTGGGGACATCACTCGTACCAAATTCCCATGAAACTTCATGAACTCTCTTACAAACGAGGTACAGTCAAGGCTGATATGGAGTGCCTGGGGCTACAAACCGTCTACGGACTCCGTCTGTGGAACAAGAATTGGATAACTCTGTCGCAAAACCTTGCATCAGATCGCCTCGCCTGGGCAGCGATGATTCGAGATGTTCATGAAGCCGGCTCATCCTCCCGTAGGAGATAGCCGAAGTAAACAAACAAACAATGGGTAGATCACTGACGAAATCTCACCACGGATAGAGAAAGCTAGTTTCGCATAAGTCAGTTTATGCCATCTTTGGCTTAGTAGATGTGATTTCCAGCTGGCTGTCGACCAAAGGGCGGGTGTACTGCTCAGCAGTTCGCTCCGTCCCCCTTTATGGCTCTGAGACCTGGTTTTTGAGAGTGGAGGACATGAAAAGGCTAGCTAGCTGTCGTTGATAATAGGTGCCTGCGTTCTATCTCCCGTGCTAGGTGGCGTGATATAATAGAGTGAGCAATAATGAGGTCAAGCATCAGCCGAGTGGTAGTTGATAAGGAGGAGGGGGAAATCAATCGACGAGGCTGTGAAGTTACATAGATTGATTGAGATGGTTAGGAAATGTGTTACGCATGCCTAGCAATCGACAGCCTTCGTCGACAACGGGGAATATTAGCTGACATAGGGTCAGAATGGAAAATAGCCAGTGGTGGTCAAATCAAAACATGGCTTCATCAGTCAATGAAATCCACAACATTTAGCTTAAGCCAGCCAGCCACGTAGAAAGGTGTAGATTTCCTGACTAACTGGTTGGCGTCCTCGGGATGATAAACACCACTGAAGGCTGGAGACAATTGGTGATATGGCTCGAAATCGTTCTCAGTGTATAGAGCACATGCATCTACTCCTTGTGGCTTATAATACCCAATTAAACTATATTGTTTTTCGATAATACTATTCTTTCTGCCTCATATCTCTGTTGAATGTTTCTATTTTGCGTTTCATTTTACTTTCTTCTCTTGCTTTGTGCGCTACATGAAGGGAATGTGGTGACTCGAACTGCTGCTGCAAAGTTTTATGTTGGAACTAGTCAGTCAGTCAGTCAGAGTACCATCCAGACAACAGTCTTAAACGCAACTAATGTACACTGCTACTGAAACTTCAAAGCTCTGACTTGAAGCCCTGTATTCAACTGGGAATATAAAGGAATATAATAATAATAATAAGGGTTGTTAGCTAACTCTTATATCCTAGCTATCGTTTAGCACATGCCAGTTTACGCCGTCTCTGGCGTAGACGTGACATCCTGCTGGCTATCGACCAAAGGGCATGTGTACTGCCCAGCATCATTTAGCTACGTCCTCCTTTATGGCTGTGAGACCTTGCCTTTGAGAGTGAATAGCTGCCTTTGACCATAGGTGCCTGGGTTGTATCTCCCGTTTTAGGTGGCGTGGCGTAATAGGGTGAGCAATATTGAGATTAGGCATCGGTCGAGTGCTAGGTAAGAAAGAGGGGAAATCAATCAACGAGGCTGTGAAATTACATCGACTGAGATGGTTAGGACATGTGTTACGTATGCCTAGCCATCGCCTTCCTCGACGGGCGATGTCAGCTGATATAGGGTCAGGCTGGAAAAGAGCTAGCGGCGGTCAAACCAAAAAATGATACCAGTCAATGAAATCTACAACAGTTAGTTTAAGCCACGTAGGAAGGTGTAGACTTCCTGGTTGGGGTCCTCGGGACGGTAAAAACCAATGGTTGGAAACAATTGGTGACATGGCTCAAAATCGTTCTCAATGCATAGCTCAGATGCATCCACTCCTTGTGACTTATGATTTCCAATTAAACTGTTTTTGTTCTTCGTTACTACTATACTTTTGTCTCACACCTCTGTTTACTGTCTACATTATGCATTTCTCCTACTTTTTCCTCTTGCTTTGTGTGCTACATGGAGTGTGGTGACTTGAACTGCCGCACATATGTGCAAAGTTCTATGTTGAAAACAGACAGACAGTTCTTAAGACGGAAACCCTCATTTTGTTCAAACATGAAAGTATAAGAAACATATGCATTGATAAAAGCCTTACCCTAGTAGCTTTCACAATTTCTGATTGTTCCTCCTTTGTCTCTGTCTTCAACTTCTCCAACTCTTTAGCTGGTAAGGACTTGTACAACACTGACAGCTGTTTTAACACTTCTATATTTGTAAGTTCTGGTTTTGTAGACTTGACTTCATGAAATTTCGATCGAACGAAATTTGCATAAACATTGTTTTGACACGACGTTGAAGTGAACTGACGGACTATAGTGAGTAATTTGCTGTACAGTGAAAATGAACATCTGGCTTACCTCATTGAGATGTGAGAAAATTTTGCACAAAAGCAAGTCTAGAAATAGAATTTAAAGAAACAAATCGAGCGAAAAGTCCAAATAACAACGGCAAATGTGAGTGTGGCAGAGGCGAAAATGCAACGAAAATGTACTTCCTGAGTAAAAAAAAAAGTAAACTTTAAATAGAATATTGATACTACTACAAACAGATTCATATGAACTGTGATCAAGATTTGATCGAATAGTTCCAAAATAATTGGGAGCCAAGTGAGAAGTAGACACTTGTAAAAAAAATTGTGTATTTGTAAAATCTCAACGAAATTCAAATGAGTAATTCCAAAGATTTATTTATTTATTTTTATTTATTTTATTTTGATTTACAGCTTGATTCCACACCGTATTTTCAGTACAAGTATGGAACTTTCAGCATGGATATCGGTAGCCCAAATTCAGGCCGACCATTGATATCGGGTGTGCACCGGTAGGGGATCGAACCCCGGACCATGTGCATGGTCGGCGAGAGTCCTAACCACTGTGCCACCGACGCACAAACTTCTTCAGGAAAATTAATCAAGATTAACATAACAGAGGTTTATATATATAAAAGGACTTAAAAAAAGCTAGAAAACACATCAGCGATTGCATTGCATTCGATAGAAACGGGACACAAAATCAACTTTGATAGGACTAAGGTTCTGCAGATAGGTTTTGGTTCGTATAAAGAAAGACTGACATACATATGGGTGAATTCCAACAGTTTGAATAGACGTGAAGGTGTGATGTTAGCTGACGCATGGCAAATCCTGATTAATAGATTTTTTTTAAATGGATATGTATCACTAATTAATCATATTTGGTCTAAATTCCCGACTGTCTATATCTTCTTATGGAGAGGCTAACAAATGTTTTACAACTGTTTACCCATACACATATATACACACACCATTGTATACTGCATAAACCCACATATTTTCACATTCAGTTATCTACAACCATGAACTTTTAGTTTAACGTAATCTGATAAAAAGTGCACTCTGTTTAAATTGTTTAACAAAAGTATACCGATAATTGTGAGTCTGAGGACAAATTTTGATCACAGCTCATACAATTTCGTTTATTATACATGTTGATAACTGTTTCATGACTCATATGATTGAAAAAAGTTTTTAAAAACAAGAGAAGAAATATCAGACATTACTGAAACTCTCAAGTAGAACAACTACCCAACGAACTTCATCAATAAAATCAACACAGACATTAAGTATGGCCGAAAACGCATTCCGAAAACATAGACCTCAACAGTCGTCATTCCATATGGAGCAGAGACGTCAGATAATATCAGAAGAGTACTCGATAAGCTCGACAGCAGAGTTTTCTTCACAACATCAGACACACTACGAAACAACCTTATCCATATAAAAGACCAAATCCTTAATGATTCTCTATCTAATTGTGTCTATAAAATAAATTGCCTGCAATGTGATGCGATATACATCGGACAAACATCGCCAGGAAGAAATCAAAATCAGAAGAAATGAACACCATAGAGCATCTGTTCGACCACCGAGAACTAGAAAACCTTGAAAAATCATGTCATAGCTCATCTACACGATATAGAATCAGGCCACAAAATTCATTTTGACAATATTGAAATAATCGAGAAGAAGCATTTCAGCAATCACAAAGAACGTCTAATATGAGAAGCACTTCATATCAAGTGGAATCCAAACTGCCTGAATAGGAATGATGGACTAAAACCGAATCTGACCTGGTTACAACACCTCCCTCCCCTCCCCCATGAAGTGACAAAATCAACACGAGTGTGATATGCAAGTTCACTATGTAAACAAACACTGCTTTCATAATTTTACACACTGATCAAATCCAACAATCTACACTTGGTTTTCTTATCTTTACCAACTGGCCAACTTGACAACGAAAAATGCCCCCAGACTGAGGAACGATGATCAAGTTAGTTAACTTCATTTTCGGTATCACAACAGACGTAATATTACCTTTGTTATTTGGTTTAGTGATCTTCATTGTTATTTTAACTTTCAATATGCCCTTTTAGCTTGACCTAAGTCTATTTTCTCACCCCTTAACTCTTTGTTATATATGTGCTGAGATTTTGTAAATTCCGGTTTAATAATACTTTGATAAAGCTATTAGCATTAAATAGCGAAACATCAGTAAAAACAATATCGTTTTGTTTTTCATTCATTGGGAAATACAAAAACCTTTATTATAAGAGATGTCCCCCTTTTTATACATAAACCTCTACTATGTTGATTTCGATTAATTTCCCTGAAGAAGTTCGGACCAGATTGCCGAACGAAACGTTGGAATTAATCATTTCAATTTCGCTGAGATTTTACAAAAATAATTTTTTACAAACAAATTTATCAACGACTTTGTCACTAAACAAAAAATTAGTTAGTAGTCGATCCTGTAATCAAACTTCGATTCGAAGAAATAGCGAATTAGGAGTTCTTCGGGTTCCACACGCTCGTCGTGCTAAGTAATCTTTATATAGAAATATAATGACCTTTTTTTGATTCTGAATACCTAGAACAACAAAAGACATTGACAAAGTCAGAACTTGAGAGTGGTTGAATGGTCACCGAGCTGAGTCTTCTAACTTTAAGATAACTCGTTTAATCCCTGGTGGGGTCGCGTTAATGAAGAGTCCCGAACCAGGACGAAATATCTACTTGGTTTCCAATGATATCTCTAACACAGCTACCTGCTTAGGTCAATGGGCTACTGAAACTCTTCTGCATTTTTCATTGTTTAAATAACGAAAATGACCAATACAGAAATCGAGTTCTTATATAATTAACCTCCGAAGAAACACTGTACAATTCTCCAACGAAATAAAGAGAAAATGTACAGAAATGGTCTCATCTTCATATGCAAGGGCGTTACGTATCTTTAGTATACTTCAGATTATTACTTTACATATAAACCTTGTATGAAAAGGAAATATTTTTGAACTAAATACGCCGAAAATTTCTGTACTCTGTGTTCGCTTATTGTCTGAAATAAATCTTTATTATTATTATTATTATCATTGATATTACTGTAGTATAACTGGTCTACAAAAGAGAATGTTACTACTACACTGTACACCATTTATGTTAATTTACTGATCTATGTAGCCGCTTTTTGAAAGCATCCAACCAAAGAGCATTTGCAACTTTCTCCAGTAGATATAACCTCACAGTTCACTAATTTTAACTGTGAAATACTTGTTAGAGATATTAGTTTACTGCATTTCAAATAGATTCAGTAGGTCTGAATTCATTTCATGGAAGTCTTTTCATGTTCCAGGCTGTGAACCACCCACACCTCCACAAGTGGCTAAAGACAACAGCCAACTATTTCATAGACTGATGATATGTTTTGATTAGACCAAAGCTAACTCTTTTCAAAAGCCTAGTCCTACGTCAGCCAATATCGCTCTATTAGGAAGGCTATGATACGGTATGCACAACATATATCCCAGCCATCTTAAAAGATGCAGTTCCACCACCTCATTGATTGATATCTCCTGCTTACCTGATAATCTACGCCTACCATAATATACCACTTGTAATGGGACACAGAGCACAAACACAAAGACAGCTAGTCTCTTCAAGTCTTCTACTTTCAACGACCATGTCTCCTAGCCATGGGGAAGGACACATAATCTTCGATCAACAGCTGGATATGACCCCGGAGATAACGTAAGTTTACAAGTACCTTTGTATCTGTGTTGAATTTGTCATCAGCTAATTAGGGATGATGTGGCTTCCCAAGCAATTGAAGTGGTCCATGTGCTCAACCACTTCATTCCTTATCTTAAAAAAAGGAGTACACCAGTGCTGCAGCACCATCTAACATTTTTGCAGGGGCGAATTGCATACTAAGATTTTTTTTCCTCAAGGTGTTCAGAGGACTCTGTCTTCTGTCAGTATCTTCCACTAGAAGGACATTATCACCTTCATACTCAAAGTGAACAAGACAATCATTACGGCTCTACGGTCTATTAGGGTCACATCCACTTGTACATCTACCATATAATAAAACACAACTGGAAAGAATAGGCATCTCTGAATGATACTACTGGTTATCGTCAGTTCAGATGACAACTCTTATTAAGCTTCAACACGAATAAATGAGTCTGAACAGAATGATTTGATTAAGACAATACGACATACTCTCACCATCGCCTTAAGGGTCAAACGTAACAGCAATAACTCTCTGACGACGGAGTCAAATGTTGCCTTCAGGTCTAGAAATATGGTTAGTGCTGGACGTCAGTAATGCTTATGGCTAACTACTATGCATTGGCAAATGCACTGGAATATGACCACTAGACAGCACTACTGAAATAACCCGCGAAATCCCCCCCCCCACCAAACTATCTAGACACAGTTAGAAGTAGACGAAGATAATGGGTGCGAAACACCACCAACCAAAACAAACTATGTGAAACTGAGCTGAACAGATTCTCAAATGGATGGTGGAGCATAACCACAAAGCGTCAAACCCGTACGAATAGTTTCCGAGAGAAAATATCAAGTTTTCAATAATGGAAAAGTGCAGTGACACCACGAGCATATTCAAATGTTGTGATGGAAATATAACCAAAATGAAGACGCAGTTAACAAGTTGTCCATGTAAAAGCCCATAGCAAAAACTTTCGCAATATGTTTGGGTCGTATGAGGCACATTAATCCAAATAATATGGGGGAATATTTTCTCCAAAGTCCTAAGAATTGTTGAGTCGTCCTAGTTCTTCAGTATTTATGATTAAGGGAAGAGTGCACATTTCTGACAGTCTTTGTCTTATATTGTATTTCAAGTGCACATTTTTGACTGCTTTATATTATACGCTTGATTCAAGGCAAATCGAAACAAACACCTTACCAAGATGAGAAAATGTATTAGAACTTCATGCATTACAGTTGTTAAATGTTCACACAATAAGGACAACAAAATTGAATTCCTTGGGACCATATAAGTGCTACATTAATTTTTGTGAGTTGCTTAGTCAGCAAATGTTTGAAACATATAGGTGAGACAACCGAATGGCTTGAACAAAACTAGGACAATGAGAATACTGTGCACATTGCCGTTAGAAATTCGTAATTCCAGGTATTTTACCAACTAGTGCGAATAGCTGTCTCAAAGCAGTGGATCAATTATATAGCTGTTAGCGTTAAGTGACTAAATTTTAATGAAATCGTCATTTTTTTCATAGATCTTTGAGTAATTAGACTTTTTAACAAAAACGAAAGACATAGAACACTGACCTTGAAAATTCAAAATGCCGCGACAAACTGCTGCAGTATCCGAGATTTAGCAGGCACATCAGACTTTGATCGAGAATAGTAGGCTCGAAATCTACGTCATTTATTGTTTAATCGATTCTCCAGGGAGTAGAGTGAAGACAGACACCACTTTTTCTAGGAATCGGCTCCGATAGCTTTTACAGGCTGAGGGTGTTGATGTTAGTGGATTCTACGAAGTATACTAACATAAGATCTAATACCCACAACTTCGTTCCGCGTAGACCAAAGGCAAAGTTAAACACCAAAATGGATCGTACAAATTTCGAATTATATTTCGGAACCGAATTGAAGTGCAAGATGATTGCTCTCTGTTTGGGCAAAGTCTTCTGCATTTTCGAAGTCCCAGGAAATGTATGTAAAATGACAAATATTTCACCAGTGATTCCAACAAAGGCCTTGAGTAACACCCATGACGAATGAAAGCTTCGGGCTGCCACTGATCAGTTGTCCTCGAATTTAGGTCATGAGATATGGTGACATGTACACTTTTAAGCATAGGAACTTAAGGAAGCACTACTGCGCAATGTCGTTAGCGATGACACATGCATGTGAGGTGCTGATATTTTCGAAATTCACTACGCTGACTCATTCTTCGATCCAGTCAAAGCAACTGTTGAGACCTACTTGGAACATGTGTCATTGTCATCCTGAAGTCCCAATTTCTTAGGTCATTTGCCTGGAGGAGTAGAGGCACTTGATGAGCCCAGAAAATTCGTTGACACACAGGATGATAAGGAAGAACCGGATGCATTGCCTGGTGTCATAAGTAGTGTGCACCCTCTTTCGGGAAGCAAGTTCTAAGTTGTCTCTGACTTCCTGTCTCCTGCCTGTCAAAAATTCTTGAATCTGGTTTGACAAATCACCCTTAATTCTAAGGCATTTCAATCACAGGAGCAGTCCTGTGCAACATACTTTGATGAATGTCTTTCCCAAATCTATGGAAAAAAGTCAGTGTGTTTCTCATTATCTCCTGATCTGATCCAGTCTTACCTGTGAGGTTCGTCGAACATGAAAGATTTCTCCAAACACTTTGCTGTCCATCAACTGAAAAGCTTTTGTACTGTTCTTTTCAATACTCTGATAGGTGCCACTGAGACTACTGGGTATGCGGTTTGAAGGCCAGTGCCCAGATCCTCCGTTATGGATGATGGTCACTGTTTTATTGTTCAACACTATTACTCCCTTGAGTCCTGAGAGGAACAAACGGCTTCAGCAATACATATCCACTTACTTCCGATTTACATAGTCAGTTTTTGCTGAGAATCAACGGCATATTCCCAACGAAACTGGGTCAAAGTTCCATCTGCAAAATAAAAGAGGACAAACCATGCTTCTACAAGACAGTCGAAAAGCAAGCAACCACTTATCATTGAAGCCGTATATTATTATCAACACTTGACCATGTAAAAGTGAAGTAAGAGACAAAGAATATGAATCCACCGCATAGACAAATGGCAGAGACCAAGGCGGAAGGGTCTGATGATGTGCATATCATGGATAAAGGTGGGCAATTATCAAACCAACTGAAGTATTCAGACGAACGTTGTTCTCGTTAATATATTGTTCAAGAGGAAGTTTTCAGTCACACATCTTCGCGATAGATCTACACGAGACATTTTTTCAAATACTTCACCATGATCGATTAATACCATACCAGTTGGCAGGCTTTCTCCCCTAACCTCTACTTTAATTGCTGGGCTATTACAATTATCACTAAACTATAGCCTTCTTTTGAACAGACACTTTGTTCTCATATAAGCAAGACATGCTCTTGCTCGTAGGCTGGTATCCGATCTCTAAAGGCAACTCCCATGGCTTAGCTGCAACAAATGTTGGACCAATTAGTAGGGTGTCAGATGCTAATCAAGTTTTGCTGCCCATGGAGACCAAACTAGCTACTGTGTCTTCACCTAGACGATCTAACCGAAGAGTTAGATATAATGAATATCTCACTAAGCTGTATGTGGACAGTGTCAACTAAAGAGTGTAAAATTCTGGATCTGAGTCCATCCAACACGAGTGGAAATTACTTAGATTCAAAACAAGAGCCTAAACACCACCTCGTTGTTAACTGGGACAGGTTGTTTATGTTCTGAACATCACGCCCACTAGTCGTACTACAGAACAAGAATACACCATCTTAGTATTTGGAAAGACTTTTCGCTTCCAAGTGAAAACGAACCATGCTCTCGTACATAAACTTCCGATACATTCGGTACTAATGAGCACTCAAGGGCAGTAACTCGCTATTAAATAGATTACTCGAAATTGGCTTAATGTGAGTGATCGCCAGGTAAGACACTATTTCGCTTTATAATTGTAGTTAGCGCTACTTAGATATGTGTAGAGAGAATAGCGGAGAATAGTGAAAAAAGACGACCTTGAGAAGCCTATGTTCGTGGGACTGCCTTTCCCTTACTTGTACGTAGTTCGTTGCTCGAGTTCCATTTGAAGCGTATGGTCTCAACAACGCACCATTTTCGAGTGGTTCCACAAGTTTTCGTTTTCTCCTACCACGGTCTGCTCCACGACAGCCTCAGAAGCCCACCTCATCGCTTCCTATTTGGTCACCAATCCAATTGGTCGTGTGAGGTGACAGTCAGTGGTTTTCTCAGTGTATGCGCAACATGTCTTCACTTTCTTGTGTACATTTGTTGGATAAAAGTTCCCTTTCTGGTTAGCTGGGAGAGCTCGCTGGTCACCACTGCTAAGTGAAGACAGCTACTGTTGAAAGTTGGAAGGCTGAGGAAAATGCTTTCAAAGTTACGTGCACCGGGTCTCCCAACTACATAAAATCACTGAACTCGCATCATTACTGAGAGTTTGTAATTTATTCCACATGCTTAGGACAGTATTCCCACATTGCCCATGAAGTAATGGACACATGCCTTGTTTTCCTCAAGCCATCCTGACTGGCTTTGACGGCCTCATCCGTGCCACCTACAGTTGGAACTATGCCGTCCGGATCAGGCAGGTTAAAGACAATAATTGTTTCAGATTCCCCCCATAGAAAACCACTAGCGTTTTTGTCGTTCCTTGCTTATATTCATCGTGTCTGCATATGTATCTGAAGTTTTATACTTATATTAATGTATCTGAAGTCCTTTCTGGAGGGACGTTTCTGCCAACTTGTTGGTTTTCGCATAGGGATATTCGAGTATGTGTGGCACCAGGCAAAAATCATCAGTCAAACTCAGATCTTCTAGTGTGTTCTGGTCACTTCGCAATATACGCGTCATCATACTCCCTCTAACATCCCATGAAATCCAGTCCATCAGACTTAGGAAGATCATTGAGTGTAGTGAATAGTTTCGCCATACGCCATCTCAGCTCTATGGCTTTGATGTGCTTTCTGTTACGCTTCATATACTGTGTGCCATTTGTATGTAGTGGCTGAATGATCTTAAGGCAGTCTTGTGACACCCCTTAGTGTTCCCTACTGAAATGATTTTCCTATGGATTGACATGGGAATGCCTACTAAAAGCATGGATTTACTGAACCATCACGATTTTCTGGTAGATGTACACTGCCAACTGACGGACCATGCCACCAGACTGTAGTTTGAAGGAATCGTTTGCGTAAGTCAAATTTGGTCGCAAATCAACAGAAAGAAGAAGGCTAATTGAACCTTCTATCAGATTAACGGCATGTATCCTCAATTGCCCCTCGGACGATTTGCCGTGCATAACCAGCAATTTTCGCGCAACACGATAACCACATGACAACCTGCAACCTCTAAAACACGACGACTCGCTCCTGATTAGCGGAAAACGAATATGTTCGGCCTCAGCGTCATTTGACCGTTGAATTGCTCATGCGCATATCCACAGTAACGTTATCTTACGTGACTACTTTTTCAAAAATAGTGAAAGCGTACAACCGAATTCCTCTGACACCAAAAGACATTCTGAAAGCGGTTATCACTACGTCTTTCGGACTTTTTGGATTCCTATGCGTGCCACCCTGTTTTGGTAATGCAGCACAAATATCCCAGCGCCTAATGGAGTGTTAGGCACTGCTAGCTTTTCACACACGTAATCAGATGAGTGCCGCATCGCGAAACCTCACCACTGACGCCTGTACTTAGACTTCGATAAGTTACGCTGACATTGTGTTACCACAGACACCTCAAGATAGTCAAATAGGAGTGGAATCAATCGACTTTCTCGCCCGCAAAACTGCAAGATTGTCCACTCACTAGCCAGTAAATTTGAGGCAGTTATTAACCTCCCGGAGTCAAAGATGGTAAAAATACCTTGCACTTTTAGTATTTTAGTTAACTGTTACTAATGTTTCATTCACAAAATAAATGAGAATATATATATTATTAACTGTGCTGCTTCAATCCAGACGGTGATAGACCAGCTTCGACATGATAAGAAGAGCGTAGATCCCGATGCATATGCCAAGAACGCCATTGCGGACGTGCATTAGAATCCAATGGCACAATTAAGTGTCCCGATTGACACTCCCGGCGGCGCAGTCGGAGCAGTTTAGTAACAGCTGGTCAGAGAGAAGCGGTATCAACTTGCCTTTTGTTGAGGCGGCTGAAAAAGAGAAACGAATTACGGTGCGTTCAGTCGAGAAATTCAGGATATGTATTTTGGTATGCGCCACTTCTGACATTCGGTAGAAGACGTTGAATTATTACAGACTACATATCACACATTTACTGCCCGGACCCAATTTCAATTGGTAATCATGTCGGGGCCAACAACTCTGTCAAAGGCTTTGTGTATTGCACTTTTCCCTTTGTTCATGTTGTAGTGACCCGTTTTATTACTCATCATCGCAGTATACTTTCACTATGTAATTGTACTTTGATTTGTTTATTACTCTAAATCTTGCATGTTAACAATTGATACTTTTGTACTCGCTCGATTTTTGAATTTTGATTGCTGCAATAATACACTATCGTATTCCTTCGCAAGTGCCTTTTGAATTACGTTGTGGATGTCGAGTAATCGCAACGTTAGGACACA